ATAAATATATGCTTAAGTATATCTAAATGGTTTTAATGATGAGATCATATAAAAATAAACTATCAAAATATTAAAAGTACTTTTAGGGGAATTATAATAGTAGGTATATGATTACACATAATATGTCTCAAAATGAAAATATATAATCAACAATAAATCTAGGTAATTCCTATATACGTGGCTTTAATTTGATAATATACAGGGCAAGTCTTAAGTAAATGCAAATATTTTTTTTGTGAAAACAAAATTAAAACATTTAATTTTTTTATAATATGGCAACATAGATAGTAGATTAAATTAACAAGAAAGAAAACCCAGAAAAGGTCCAGTGGTTCTCAAAACTTAAGCAAAAAATATTTTTTTCGGGGCAAAATTTCAATCAAAAGTCAAATAACTCGGTTATTTTGGACTTACTTGAAAAACGAAAAAGAGAAAATATGTTTCTTTTATCGAGATCTACCATCCATGAAAATATTTCCACTCAATTAAGATTCACTTTGTATAATAAACACAAATCTAAAATTCTATCAATTATATATTTTTTTTAAAACTGTCACTAAACATCAAAATACTATATTTTAAATATAGACGCGTGTTTCTTTAACCATACCATCAGAAAATAGTTAAAATTAGTTTATTAGAGTTTGCTGATTTTTTTATTTGCTGATCGTACTAACGTGTGTAGATAGGCAGGCGGGTCTACCACTGTCTACCACTTAGTTGCTTCAAAAGATGTTAGAGATGGCGGTCATCTACATCATCAGTTAATAGCTTTACCAGATGTTAAATATGCCCGCCATTTCCAGATATTCAAGATTCCACCAAATCATCAAGCTATCCAGAATTACATCTCTAGTCAATCTATTAAGCCCAGTGTTGCCAAATTTACATTTTATCCTAAGAAAAGTCATATTATACAGCCACCGGGATGTAATTCTGGATGGTCATAAAATCTCGAATATTTAAAATCTGACAACGCTATTAATTGGTGATGATGTAGATGGCCGCCATCTTTAACATGTTTTGAAGCCACTAACTGGTAGTGGTAGCCCATCTGACTATGTACAAACGTGGTAGGAAAAAAATGTGTACAAAAATTAAAATAAAGTGTTTTTGGTGTGCTAGTGTGTAACTTTGTGTAATACTTTTGTGGATTTCTTGCTGAAATAACCAACATTCCAACCTAAGTTGTACTTCTTTAATAAATTATGGTTTCAAAGTATCTAATTTTTATAAAGTGTGGTCCGTTATATATTCGGGACACCGGCAGCATATTCTACTGATTAAAATAAGTATAAAAGATCATATAAATTTATGTTCTAAAATGCTTCGTTTTGGAATTACAGGGTGTAGAAGTTTCATTTTTATTTCTAACTAACGTCGACATTTGGATGAAAATTGGTGTTTGGGTGTTTTTGACATGATAAATTTGATTCCAATGTCAATATGACACCTATTTGTAGGGGGCGTCACCGATTTTTAACTAATTTGAAGAGTAATAACTTTTCGTCGGTACCTGTATAAAACTACTAGGTAAAAAAGAATACATTTCCGTAATTTTCTACGTGTAAAAAGTATTTTGGTAAAAATCGCTACGAGCAACCGTTTTCAAGATATTTGAAAGGAAAATAGTACATGTCATTATTGACAAAAAATAAACATGTTGAGACTAAATATTAGTTATTTGAATAAAATGATAAATTCGGAAACTTTTTATTTTTTTAAGCTAATCATGATTTTTTCTAGAAAAAAAAATACGTCAAAACAGCTTCTGTTGAATATTTGCCACAAGAAAATTGTCAATTTATTATATTAGACTAATAACTATCCAGTCAAAATGTATAATTTTTATCAATTATTTTACATGCATTGACTATTTCGATTCCAAATATCTTGAGAACAATTACTCGTAGCGATTTTTACCAAGTGACATTTTTTACTTAACAGATTACGAAAATTTATATTTTTTCACTCAGTAGTGTAATACAGGTACGGACAAAAAGTTATTACTCTTCAAAACAGCTAAAAATATGTAGGTGGTGCCCCCACAAGTAGGAGTCATACTAACATCGAAATGAAATTTCCCATGTCAAAAAACAACCAGACATAAATTTTCATTCAAATAAAAAAGCTTATTAGCTCAAAAATTATCTGGAAAAAATCGAAATAAAACTGAAACTTCAACACTCTGTATCTATGAAACAACGCATTTTAGGACATAAATTTATATGAATTTTTTACTTATTTTTATGCGCAGAATATACTGCCGAAGTTTCATGAATACAATTCGAACCACCCCGTATTTAACGTTTGTTATTTTGAAATGATTCATTTAAATTAACTTGTACCAGAACTTCGAAAATACAATATCGTAGAGATATTATTTAACAAACTTAAGCCACAAATTACATGTTAAAGGGAATTACCTAGCTCTATTGTTTAATACCAATAATTGTTCAATAATTAGTATAACATTTTAACACAGATAACTTCTTTTCATGAAACATCAATAAAAATTTAAGAATAATCCATATATTTTTAACAAATAGGTCAATACCAATAATGAACTTATTATAGAGATATATAGAGCAAAAAAATAATTAAAAATACGTTATGAAATATCGATTGTTTTATATTTGTTCAAAAATAATTAATTACAAACTAAATCCCCAACAATATAAAGTTTTGCCAATAACAAATTGATATTAACTTTGGTAGAAGGTATTTTAAAATCGTCGCAAAATTCTCCATTTAAATTTAAATTTACTCTGATACTTCTTTTGTAATTTGCGTATAATTTAACTTATATAAATATTTAATCACAACACATATAATTTAATAAAACACGTAGTGAAGTACGGTGAATTTTATATAAATCTTAGGTGATCTTAAGGCTTGCTTATTAAACACACAAACATTTATTATACTGTCACATTTAGAAAGCTTAAACGATTATATTTCATCTAATTCAGCCTTTATATATTTGGCATTATGTTACTTTTCTTTTGTTAATTTAACCTTGTTATTTTTGGCCCCTTTTTTAATATTTTTTATTCAGGCCAAAAAAATTCTTTAATCAATCAGCGAATCAATTCCATTGCATAACTAGCATTTTGCTGATACGACAAATCGTTTAAAATGGTTATTTCCCGTTATTTTACATTGTTGAAGTTTTAATAAATATATACGACTAATGAAATAAATTTGAGAGAGCGAGCACAGTCTCTGGAGTAGATTAGCAACCACGAGCTATTTGTTGCTAGTCTGAAAGACTGTGCCCGCTGTGGCCGTGGTCTAAAAGGTCTTAGTCCTAGTCGTGTCCCTATAACTGAAGAGAAGACCTCAAGTCCAGAACCTTATTTCTCGATAACGTCAATTAGATGCTCTTTATCTTTAACCTTATTTCTAAATATATCTAAGTCCTTAAAATGATCCTTAAAAGGGGCGGCTAGATCCAAAGGTATGGGGTACACGATTGTGGAAAACTTTCCGTGACAAATTTTCGACAGGGTCTAGAAAGGAAACTGTATTCTTACTCCGACACAAGAAGGCACACCTTTTACTCCTCAAAAATAAAAGGCAATACCCCTCTTGCTTCGCTAAAATCCATGTAGCACTTTAGAGTGTTTGAAAAGGGTACATTCGTAAATTACAAAAAGACAAAAAAGTGATATTAAAAAGTTTTAATAGTCATGCATCAAAACACATTAAAAAATTGTTATCAAACTTCGAAATATTCCTTAGTTTTCTCTGATGTTAAAAACGTCTGTGCTCCAAACACTCCGTAGTGATTGTACGCACCCTGTATATAAAGCGGTAGCATGCTGTCAAAACATCGAAAAATTAAGTAACCCAAGACCTGATACTTTTGACTCTAATATAGGAAAATATATACCGTATAAGAATGATCACTTACAATCTAAAATATAGTCTAAGAACAAGTTTAAACATTTACATATATATTCTCGAAATTCTCTAATGTATAATATAGTATTTATTTTTAAAATGCTATGCATTTTTCTAATACTGCAACATTATTATAATATGTAATATTTTACTTAGCCAGTAACATTGAACTTTTATCAATTATTTAAACTCTATACTCTACGTTTGTCTAAACTCTAGATAAAATGTATGGTCATAGGCTGTAAATCGTATTCACTTAAACATATTCCTATATCTAACGAAATACTAACTTTAATGTTTATAGTTTTCTAAAACTCTAAAAATTCTTATTTGTGCTTAAGCTAGGTTCGTTTTAAAAGTATGTTTTTATCAAAAATATTGTTTAAAATTTAATATTTTTAGTTATTTTTAGCAAGATGTCTGATCTTAAATTCTTACATTCGATTCTTCTGTATTGAGCAACGTTTACTTTAGATTTATCAGCAATATGCTCGATATGGTCACGCTTAAAAACAATATTTATCGTAAGTTGGCTCCCATTTCACTTTCATTACCAAAATTCTCAAATAATAGTTATATTTTATACAAGACGATAAAATGGTATTTTATCGTCGACCGAAAAGATTAATTAATTTCGGGAGACGATAATACAATTTTATCGTCGTGTATAAAACAATATTTTTTTCCATAGCGAGTTATATTCAGAAATATATTCAGAAATTATTATTTCAAGGAATTTATTACGAGTAGAAAAAATATTGTGCTGGGTTGGCGTTGGTTTCTACGTAATTTGACAAATAAATAAAGCTGTCTCTTTAGTTGTCAGTTTTGAGTCAATATTTTTTAATTCTCTTTCGTGTCGATTGCTGATTGAATTGTAGCCAGAAATGGCTCAAAACAAAATAAGTAAATCACAAACAGATATTCAGGCTGAGGTGACAAACGCCATATCCAAACTACTTCCATTTAAATCCCGAATAACTTATGAAAAGGAATACAAAAATTTTCAAAAATGGAGTTTTTAAGTTTTTAACTTATCCTCGCTGTTAAAATATCATTTAATCTACCCTTGCGGTTGAAGTACTATTTTATCTACTATTTTTATTAGATATAAGGCAATTTTAACAGTTGCTATGGAAAAAATATGTTTTAATACTATTTGTGCTTTATTTTTTGCATTATTGTGTGGTTTAATAAGCAAACTTCTTAAGATGTTTGTACTCCTCGCCGAAGAGAATACACAGAAATAATTTTAAGAAAGAAAAGTGAATCATAAATCATTAAATTATGATATCTAATTAAAATTCATTGTCATTTTCAAATAAAAGGCAATATTAATAACAGGTTATGACAACATAATTATAAAAGTTTGGATTCTAAAAAATAGTCTTAGATGCTATGCCTAGCATGTATATTGTATAATATAGTAATATCAATTTGTTAATAAAGCATATTGTGTCTCATGGTTCGATAATATAATATAACCATTAAATGATATTCAATTTTATATAAAATAGTTTTTCTTTCTCTAAAAGTAATTACAAAGTTAAATACAAACAGCTGTATGTACTGCAACGACAAAGCGATTAAATTCAAATACGTTTATAAATTTGTCCCAGTAAAAATTTTCAAATTCAAGAAACGTATTCTTTCATATATTATTTTTTTTCAATATAAAATGCTTGAGGGCCATATATTTATCCTCATCATAAAATTTACGAAAAAACGTATTTGAATTTTCTGCTTTTATTCTCCTTTCGAATTGTTTTATCAAAGAAAAAGTCTTTTATATCGTTGAACAGATAAATTATACATAAGAGCCGTGTCACATTACTAATATTTTTACTGCTTCTGTTCCATATGCTTCATAAAATATGACAGAATATCGATGGGCAGGGGGAAAACGATTGTAGAATTCTTTTCGGTGGAGATTGTGTTCAACGTCTTTAAAAAGAAAGAAAATGGGATATTCTAATGTAGATCCAAAATAAATTAGAATAAATAAAAAAAAGTTTTATGTTTATTTAATCTGTGACCCGAGTTTTTTAAAGAAAATACACGAACCGTGAGAGTAAACAAAAAAAATAAAGTAAAATATTGACCTGGGAAAATAAAATTCTTTGCTGGTTAGGAACAAAGGATTCAACCCTTTGGGAAATGTAAGGGATTAAAGGGATAATGTGGGATAACAGGAGACACATTGGTGCATTATATGTACAGCATAAAGCTCCAATGTTATTATTTTAGTACAAAATATTCCGATATTACTAATTTATATTTATTAGAATGATTCAATTGTCTATTAAATAAAACTGTTAAATACGAATAAAAATGAATTTTAAACTTTTTATAAAAAATTATTTACGAATTATATTCAAAATATTATAAACCTACTTTTTATGATTAGTCATTGAATAAACTGACTAAGGAATGGGTGAAATATTGTTAATATTGTTTGTACAGGATGAGTCAACGATAGAATAAAGTCCATTATCTCATTTGTTTAGAGATTTACAAAAGAATGTTAAATATAAGAGTTATAGAAAAGGTTAAGATACACATGTTAAAATTATAATAGAGTATACAGGGTGCTTCAAAAAGTGTGGCGGATATAACATATGTTTTTTTTAAATGCAATACCCTATTTTTTATTTTATTTTTAGATTCTGTGTAAAATTCTATAACTTTTTTATATATAATGTTGTGATATACCTAAAATAAATAGTTTCTGTAATATTTTAATTTGTTTAAACAAAAAATGTTAGATTTCAGTAATTGTCAGTGATGCCATTGTTTCTGAAGTTAGACTACTAAAATTTGGTAGGAGAGTTTTATAGAGATGAAGAAAAATATATATGTAAAGCTATTTTAATTAGATACTACAATACATATTTATGAATTTCAACTACTTAAAATTAAAAACTCTCAAATTTTTTAAATGGCACAGCCTATATCATTTATATATATATATTATCATTTTTCCTGATAGATTTTATAATTTATTTAATATATTTAATATATTTAATTTCTTCAACTTTTATAAGGTATACGATATACCTATTTTTAATAATTTGCCTGTCTATTCTGAATTTTTCAATTTTTACTCTTTATTTTAATTCATTTATGCAAAAACATCATAGTTAGCAATAGCATCACTAACAATTTTTTTCAACACTGAAATCCAACATTTGTTTAAACAAATTCAAATATTACAAAGACTATTAATGAATCTAATAGTAGAATTTTAATATTAATAACTTTTATATTTAACATGTTTTGCAAACCTCGAAACAAATGAAATAATGGATTTTACTCTATCTTTGACTCACCCTGTATTATTCATACATTGAATCACAATTTTCGCCAGTTTTGTTTATACCGCATTTTTTTATTCTCAAAAAATATATATTAAAGTTATATTAATTAATATAAATGCGATTTCCTATAATATAAAAGGAAAATCTATAAATTAAATAGCGTAAAAATATAAACATCTACAAATATTAACTCTTGGGTTAATATGGGCTATTTATAGTCCGTTAAATTTATATAAATATGTAACGGTTAAACTCCCAGAGCGGTAAGTATCGACATTAACCAGTTAATGTTTGGGTTTGGTTTTGGTTGTTTTGTTTTATGTTATTATCTGAGATTAGCCGGGTGATACGGAGATTAACATTATTTTGGACTTACCCGTAACATATACACAGCAAACATAAAACTTATAATAAATATATGATGAATTTTTGCATTTACAATTCATTTATAACTTAAATGTTTGTCTTTTTTCTGTGCTTTATTATTAGATTTATTATTTTAGCTGTATTATATTTTAAAATAGAATATTTATTAATAATATACTTTTTTATATGATAACGGAAAACATTAAGAAAACTTTATACCATCACCGCTAGAAAAAATAAATAACTCCAAAAAAAGACTCAATCCTTTATACGATTATAGTAATAATAAATACAGCAATTCCTCGAGAAATCCTCATATCTGTATTTTACATAAGGTTGTTTATAATGCATAAAAATCATACCCAATGCAACATATCAGGCAAAGAATATAAAAATTCTATAGAAGCTATATGTCTATCTCATACGGTTATAATTCTGCATAAAGAAATATTAATCCTCAATGAAATATTTTCTTCCGATCAGGTCACAGATTACTTTAAAAAAAAAGTGTTACAAAAAATTAAATAAAAAATTCTATACCTAAACAATAAAATTCGATTAGCGCCAATATTCATAACACTAATTAAAAAGCTTTCTTATTTGAGCTATTAAACTTAAATAAAATATCAAATCCATACAACAATATACAGAAATGCTTTAATATATGCAAAATATCTTTAGTTACTATAACACAGGATTTTTAAAATTTAATGTTAATAATAATAAATATATTCCACATATAGAAAATATATTCCACATACATCTATTGATTTTATTACCTAATTATAATATAAGTAACATCAATAAAAATACACACGTGTTCGACATAGATTCATCAATCAAGAAAAATAGACAAACTTTCAAATAATAAAAAAGTTTTTCTATAAACGTAGGTAAAGTATCCTTTTTAATGTATGTAACTTGTTTGACTATAATGCTATTTTATAACACGCCAGAAAACGTTTATACTCATAGATAAAAGAAACAAGTTTAGATTAGAAAGTAAAAGAAAAGTAAAGATTTCAGTTAACGTCTCCTTTTTGCTGCCAGGGCTAATCTAGACGGGGCCTACTTTTTTACGCGGAATCCAAACCGCGGTCCTCGGCCATATCATGGTCAGTAGCCTACCGACTTAGGAAGTGTCTAAATTATCTCTTACTCACGAGATATCCAATCTCATCCGGCCTCGAACCGGCGCGGCGTGAATGAGCAGTGTGTATCAATAGATTTTACAATTTTCTCTTGGACAACAGCACGATACAGAGTTTCGAACTGGTCACCCGTCCTTCAGTGTTCTAATGGGAACCGGTGTTTCAACGTTGCTAGGCCGTTGCCAGAGATTAGAAAGTGCCCATAAGGACAATGTAAATACCATTTGGGACTATTCTTACAACGGTCGCTTTCCAAAGCTTAATAATAATAATAATTTCGGAGCGGTTCGTCTTTTTCGGGAATTATATTGCCAAATATTATTTATTCGAATTTATAATAATTTTCTTTCAATTTTTTAAATAAAATACAGTGTGTTGCATATAAAAAAACTTTATTTTATATAAGAACATGCATGAAATACCTATGAAACATTGGAAACCGACGTTATGCCACGATTCACGATGGTTTTTGCAGTTCACAGTTCACAGCACAACTTTTGAAGTTTTTAATGCCACTTTTTCACAATTATCACGGGTTTGAAAAAATAAAACTTAAATTAAACTCACAAGTTAGCAATAATTACTTTAAAAATGGACGCTTTAAAGACTTTTCGATTTTTTTTTCAATGAGAGCGGTTTAGATTTTGAAAGATTTAATAATTTTTGAAGATTCTCACTTTGACAAGAAAAAAATATTTCTGTTCTGGTTTGCGGTTGTTCTTAGCAACCTAAAGTCCCTAGATATATATCCGGGGACTTTATAGCAACCATAGCAAACGCTATAGCAGCGCCCTACAATGCAACGTATGCGCTCCAAAAGAAATTATAAGTTTTGGCGGCAAGCCTAGCATTCTAATCCAAACTTGTTTCCTTTATCTATGTTTGTGGCTTTAGTCATGAATTGTCAATAAAAACAAGCTAAAGAATCGAATTGTTGTTACCCTAGCAACTTACTTCAACCATAAATTAGTAAAAATGGTAACAACTACAACCTAAAAAAGCTCATTTATACTTTTACTAAAGTTTGAAAGAAAAACAGTGTTTTATTAATTATTTTTCATATTATTTTAATGATTATCATTATAAGAAAAACTAAATAAAATAATTAGACACCGATGTATAAAACTATTTATTATTTTTTTAAGATCTACTAAGTACATGCAGAGTGTACTAGATAGATATTACAAATACAAATATTAAAAAAAAGTAAAGGTGGAACATAAAATCAAAAATTATGAAAAGTAACATGTAAGTTATGTAAAGTAACATACCTAAAGCATTTCTGTAAATTACAAAAGAAAAAATTTTAATTTTAAATGCATTTCAAGGATACCTTATATACATACCCTACTTACATTAATACCCTATTACCACGCTCAAAACCAAATAATAAAAATTCCATCTACATAAAACATTTATGGTGATCATTATAATTTGCATAAAACGCCAGAAAGCCTCATTAAACGGTAAAAAGACAAATTTGCAAATGGAATTTTCTTACCTGTCGCAACAAAGGGAAGATGAAAAAGAAATATGTAAAGAAGATAGCAAGCCCAGAGAAATAAGTAAATGTAGATAGACCCTAATATAATAATAACGCTTTGTAATCAATTGCAGTACCACTATAAACAACAGTTTTCTTGATAAAACAATTAAGGAGTATAGATATTATTTAAAAAAGGGCTTTGCAAATCTAAGATTTGTCAGCATTCATGGAACACAGGGCACAGAGTAAACTTTAACAATGCAAAAATTATAATTAAAAAAACGATAACATTTAAACAAAAAATACAAGAGGTTTTTTTAAAAGGCTGTTAAAAAAATTGAATAGTTGTTGTATTTAGATATTTTAGTTTGCTTTTCTTTGTTCTTTGTGTTTTTTTCGCTTCTGGCGACCGCAGATATACAGGGTTGTTCACTACATACGACACGGAGTATTGTAGCTAAACGATCAGGTTTCTACAAATTGTAAGTTTTGGGTTCGATGAAGGACTATTAGAGGTACAATTTAAAAATAATTTTACAAGATACAGAGTGTCTCAAACAAGTAAAAAATATCAAAGTTGTATTTTTTTAAACGGAACACCCTGTATATTATTACATTTTTAGT